AATATCGATGTTAGCGATTTGGTGTTCTAGAACTTTTTTGTAGGAAATTGAATGGCCTACAGNGATGTTAGCGATTTGGTGTTCTAGAACTTTTTTGTAGGAAATTGAATGGCCTACAGGTGATTTGCAATTTTTTTTGTAGCTCTTGTTATTTACGAGATAGGGGCCAAAAAATGGGGATTTCATGAAAATATTGGGTTTAGTGACCCGTACTAACTCGCTGATGGACACTTTTGTAGAGCGTTCAATTCTGAGGAAAACCCATCATTGGCCATAAATGTACCATAAAATGTCTTTGAGTTTTAGAATTTTGTTGATATCTTGTACCTGCCCACCAAATCTCAGCTCTTTTCACCCTAATCTTCCACCCTAATATCAATAAATCAAAGCTCGCCAAAAATCATATAAATTTTACTAAAGAAGTATTTCGATTATTCAAGTAGAAACATAAAAAAAAAAAAAATTATTGCCAAATGTGCTTGTCACCGAAAAATATAAAAAGGTGGCTCATAGGTTCGGCAAAAAATATTTTTCGAAATTGAATTGCAAAAAACTTTTTAACTCAGGGGTTTACAGCGAAATTTTTTGTTTGCTTCTAAGGTGGTACGGTCTAGTATACATATGTACGTGCATATGTGCGTTTAAATATGTATTAGAATCTGGGCGTATCAGTTTCGATTTTTGTTTAAGCTACCTTTTTTCGATTTCAAGGGTTAAACTACATAAGAAATTAAACAACGGCAGAGGCTCTTGGGCATGACTGCAGGTGGAGTAAACACGCAGTTTGTAATTAAATCGCTTGGAGTCAAAATGTCCGTTGCGTGTCGGTCGTTCAAAAAACTATTCAACGTCGATGATTTTTACAAATCTGTGCAACCGCTTATACTTTCATCAAATCTTCTCGGCCTCACACCTTTTGTGCTGGCAACAGATCAGCAGGGTCGGAAATCTTTGCAAATTTCACGTCGCACATATTTTTTTGTGCTTTTGATTTTAGCTGTCTATTTCTATTGCTGTTATTATATAGCTTATTGCCAAGATACCTTCGTTGGTGCCTTCCTGAATACGGACATTAGTAATGGCGGTGATAAATGTATACTGATGGGTAGTGGTGTTGCGGCGATGGCGGTTCTAAATTCAAATGTTTTACGAAAACAACGTCTTTTCTGGGCTCTGCAATATTTTCAGCAAATTGATGAGCATTTTCAACGAATAGGTGTACACTGGAATTATACGAATATCCGACGTCAAGCATTTTGCATGCTCCTCATTGGCGGTTGTACTCTTAATATGTATATCATGCTGGACCAGCTTGGGTGTTCATCCTCCATGGCCGCCGGTGTTTGTTGGTTTGAATCAATTGATTGGGATATGCTTAACGATTTCGCTTTTCGTCTTCCTCTTGCTCTCGACAAGCGTGAGAATGCAGGCTTTGAATAAGGTGAGATTCAATAAATATTGATCATAAATTTTCAATAATTTCCGTTGTGGGAATGGATTATTTTTTTTTTTTGCCATGAAGTCGAAAGTTGAGGCAAAGAGATCCTAGGGTGCAGCGCAATAGGTTCGGTAAAAAAAAAAAAAAAAATGGATGTTTTAACTGGTAATACAGCCCCATAAAATCCTAACAACTGCATGCGGCACAACCAGTGATCCAGTGGTTGTTCTGATATGTTTTTTTCCATCGAATCAGAATCTGCTCTTCAAATTATTTAATTGCCAAAAAACGGATTTTTGGCATATTTTGAATTTTCGTATGAATGTATAGACGTGGTACATAATATTTTGTATAATATAAATTGAAAATTTAAATACGGCACTTAGCTATTAACGTAAAGAATTATAATTGATTTCCACCAAGCGTTAACTGCAGTTTATGCCTATTTGAAAAAGGAGATTACAACGCGAAAAATTTATAAATAAACCTTGCCGATCACAAATAAAAATTTTGTCAATCATTCATTGCATTCCTTTTAAACTATGGGCTCTTAAACTAAATTTTAAGTTTCAGGAATATTTTAACCAGGGACCGAACATAACAGTTATTGATGAAAACTGTCATGGAAAAATTCGCTATGAAGGAAATGTTCTACAACTAAGTGAAACATACCAATCGATTTCGTTTTGCACCGAGACTCAAATTTGAAAATAAATTTTTATTTGCAATTTTTATGCAAAATTTAAAAAAATAACAATTATATTTGATTTTTATTATAGAAATCCAAAATAACAATTATTTTTGATTTTTATATTATATGGCTTAGATAACAGTTATTGAAGAGTTTTATTTATAAAAGTCATCAATAAAAATCAGTCAGTGACTTTTACTTTTAAAAGTCATTAATATAAATCAGTGACCGACTCTTATTTTTTTAATCAATCGTATAAAAGTCATTAACATTTTTCGCAGTTAAGAAGGTGTTGGAAAACAAAAGTTTACTACGACTTATTCAAATGACTTTTATAAGTATGATTGAAAAAATAAAGATCAGTGACTGATTTTTATTTATGACTTTTATAAATAAAAGTCTTCGATAACTGTTATTTAAGACATATAATTTAAAAATCAAAAATAACTGTTATTTGCAGATTACTTAAATAATAATCAAAAATAATTGTTATTTTCGATTTATAAAATAAAAGTCAGAAATAACGGTTATTTAAAGAGTAATTAAATAAAAGTCAAAAATAAATTGTTAAAGAGTGATTTTTTTAATAAAAGTTTAACTGTTACGGTCCCTGATTGTAACTCTTCACTTATTTCTTGCTAAATATGTAAAATTTTTTCTTTTGTCTAATACCTATACTCATATACATATTTCAGTAATCTTGTTCCCTTAATTAATATGAATTTGATTTTTTAAACATGTGGCAACTCTTCTATGTGTCGATTAGAAGTAAAGCATTTTCAAAACCATTACCCATATTGTAATATCTAATTCATTTAACTTATTAAATATTTGTAATAAAATTAAAAAAAAAATAAAATAAACATTATTGCACATCTACAAGCCAAGCCCTGTCATTTGACAACTCATCTATGAAAATAGAACGAACTATATTTTATATATATTTCAATTTCACTACGAAACGAATTTCCATCAAAATCCGTCTATAATTCTATTTTTTCCACATTTTATACGGAAGGGAACCACTGTGCCTCGTAGCGACCCCTACATGTTTTTTTTTTTTTTTTGATGTTAAAATGTCCATGCATATTTTTATTTTGTACGTAGAAAAAAAAGTGGCGCCCCATACAAAATTCAGATATCGACATTTTAAGGATAACCCTAATACTATGGTTTTATTTTAATCATACTTTAAAAATTTATATTTGTTGATTAAATATATTTAATTTAAATTAGTCATGAAGTCGAAATCGACATTTTAAACAGTTGGCAACCATTTCAAAAAATATTTTCGATACAAAAATGTTTCAACACCTCCTCCGTTTGACACTCATACTAATTTGTCAGCTGGCTAAAAGCAGGTCACAAAAATAAAAATATGTAGGAAAAGATAATTGCTATATATTTTATTTAAAAAAAAAAAAACAACGCGAAAATGAAGCGAGGAAATTTGTTTAACAACAATTTCATTAAGAAATAAATAAAAATGCTTTAATATCATACAAATCCATTGAAAAAAAAATTTATTTTTTGTTTTTAAAACCTTAAAATCAAAAGATTATTAAAAATAAATAAATAAACCTAATAAGAAAATACAAAAATACTAAATGAAAAATAAATAAAAAATCGTATTTTTCATATTTTTATTAAGCTTTGTACCACGATTGTTTATTAGGAAAAATTTAAAAAGCAACAAAGTCTAAGCGGTAGAAGTTATAGCAGCTATTTCGGAGATTACCACATCTCCTCATCTGACTTCTTTTTTCTAGACTTCAGCAGGGATCGATAACATTGATATACAAAAAATCCTCTACGCCCGATTAGCAGCCTAATGCTTTGCCCGTTCCGTTGTTGCGACTCTTTTGGTGGGGCTATCAGTTGACTGTCTGTGTTACATTTTTGGTGAACTTTATGTGATTCCCTCCTACTGAATACCCAAGCTACACAATTCAGCTATTTATTGCTGAAAGCCTGACTAGCTTGTTGTGGAGTTGTACTCTTAGAAAAAGGGCTGCAGTTTGCATGTTTAAACTCGTATAACTCGACAAAAAACCGCAGTAGAAAAAAATTTCTCTTACACATTGGTTACCAGTAACCATAGCAACAACTTTGTGCAGTTTGAACAAATGCTGCCATACAATTTTTTCCTGGTAAACTTGGCGATTTTTGCCCTATATAACGTACAGAACTTAACTACATTTAAGTCTTGGTCAAAGCAACATCGCAAAAAAATAAAGAAAAAAGGGTTTTTCTTAACAACCGTCGCCGCTCGCACTGTTGCCAGGTCTTCAGCATGAGAAAACGTCCCTCTTGGTCTGAAAAAACGTTATTTCCTACCCAAAAACGTCTTTTTCAAATGAATGTACAAAAAAGTGTTCTTATTTACACTTTTATTGTATACAAAGGTACATATCGAGCCCTAACCGCCAAAATAACGTAAGCGACATTTTGTTCAAAATTTTCTGCAGAAAATGCAGAAATATTCCTAGAGCATCATCAGATACATTTCTGCATCAAAAAGGAAATTTTGAAAAAAAAATGTCGCTTACGTTATTTTGGCGGTAAGGGCTTGATATGTACGTAAGGTATATTAAAATATCATGACAGAGTACATTTAAAATTCATTGTAAACTGGTTTGAGATCGTTAATATAAAAATTATTTTATACATACACTTGTGATCAGCTGTCATCAACATTTTGATCGATTTTGGCTGTTTCTCTTTCGTTTATTTAATGTTCATTATTTTTCCATAAAAGCCAAGCTCATTAACAAACAAAATATAAATCCACAAAAATTGTGCAAAAATTATAAACAATCTGCAAAATTTCAGCTAGATTTTTTTTTCTTGTAGAAATTTGGTTAGGGGCTCGGTTGTCGAAAATACTAAATTACGTTCTGCTAAGAAGGAGCATAGCAATAGGTCCATTCAACATCAAAAAAAAATTTACGAATTGTTACTAGTACTTGCAAGTTTTTACTAAAAATGCATTCAATTTCCCAAAATATTTGCAAGAGGGAGCGAATTCGAGAGCGTAACAACCCGAGAGAGCTGCAAATTCTTGCAAGTAAAAATTTTCAAAATGGCTTACGTTGCAAGTTTTTACTAGTTTGGGGTCCATAACTTTTTCTGAAAATTTTCTCTTGCTCTCAATTTTACTCTCTATTTTTTTTACGCTCTCGCTGCAAGTATTTACTGGAAAAGTTATTGAATGGACCTAATATTTCAGTCTTTTTTGCGTTCAGTACATTTTCAATGAAGTCTTAAAAAAGTCGCCCACTTTTTTCTGACGTTTTATGCTGCACAGCTTTTTTGATGCTTTTGCGAGCGTGCCTGCTGCAATAGATCGGCTCTACCTGATTTGGCTTTTAATGTGCAATTGCATCATTACAGCAAGCCTCGTAACCTCAAGTTTTACACAACCAGCCTTTGAACAAGGAATCCTTATTCCTAGAATCCAAAAAAAAAAACCTTTGGAGGAAGCAGCTGCAGCAAAACACAAAGATTGTCAAGATTTATTAAGAAAATAATTCAAAATCAGTTCCACTTATAAGATTTAGTAAAAAAGAAAAATTACTGGGAAGTTAAAAAACGTAATTTTTTACACAAAAAACCTCCAAACGTCAACAGGGTACAAAAAACGTCCAAATGACGTTAAAAACGTCAACCTGGCAACGCTGGCCGCTCGGCATGCAATTGGCAAATCTCCGAGTGTATTTCTGCGATGAAAAACAGCTTCTCATAAAAATGGAAAAATAAAAAAAAAGCTGTTCACCATCTTGGACCTGCCTCTTGAATTCAAAAACTGACATCGGAGTCTTATTCAGCGAATCCAAAATTGAGACTTGGTCAAATTTATTTGAAAATTTTTATTTCTCATTAATTTATTTTTTTCACCATTTTTTACCCTCTCTTTGAACAGTTATTTTGAGATAGGATTTTTTTTTTCAGAAAACACCAGACGACATCAAAAACTATACCATGACCAATTTTTTCATGTGCTCAAAGCATTTCCACAAGAAGAATTGGCAGTGGCTGGTATGAAAAAGAATTCCCCATACATATTCTTTTAGGGGCAAATATTACTTCGAGTACGAACCTAATCTAGCATGATTCTTGTATCGATTTTCGTTGATTCAGTTCTAGGGCCCTTTCAATACTACAAGGCTAATCTCGAAATTTCCATATGCAAACCCTAGTCGCAATTCCCTTCACATAATAAACTTTTAATACGTCATCTCTGGCCGCAGCGCAAACATGTCTCTTTCCGGTGGCCGGTAATGAATTATTCTGCAAACAAAAGCAAACATA